GTACGTCCACTTATTATACCACTACATTATATATAATATATCATATTATTACCCCCCTAATGCATACATCTACCTGGAGCGGGTAGGTGTCCCCTTGTGCCTCAAGCACAGCCTGGGCTGTCAAAAATGGAAATAAATCCAGTAAGTGGGAGAGCTTTTGCTGACCCAACAGCGGGGACAAAGCAGCTTCACTTCCCTACCACAAAATAAACTGTACAAGAAATTCAGAGCAGATTCCCAGCAGCTGAGCCAGCTGGGACTGCCATGGAGGCACCGGCCTGGTGGAAAGCACTGGCCATGAGACCCACCCTCGTGCAATGGCGTCAGGGCTGACCTGGTCCAACCTTGCAGCCACCGGACACTGCCTGTCCCCAGCCTCCGCTCGCTGCCTGGAGCTGCTTTCTGTGCAAGGGAAAGGGATGGGACAAAGCAGGTGCTGCTTCCTAAGGAAAATTAACAATATCTATTGCTGTTTTTCAAATGTTAATCCCTTGCCTGGATTTCAGTAACTTAAAAGTTGCTTCTTCCAACCCCTGAAAATTGTGCTAGAACAATGTCATCTGGCTTAAATGTACAACAGTGCATGATTCTGACCAGATAATTCATTTATGATCAACTTTATGTACATGTGATTTGATAGACTGGTCACAGGATTAAAAGTGTCATGCTGCAGACCGTGATGGCTACAGTGGGCTTGGACATGGTCTAATGAGACAAACTATGTGACACCTGAGGTTAGCAGGGACGAAAAGCTGATCGTTTAGAAGTACTATGTAAAATTTTAAACACCTCTATAAAAATAGGCACTGATCTTATCTTTAAACCACTGCAAAATAAATAGAGAATTAAAATGACAAAATTGGTGGCTTGCTGGCTGTTCTGTTGTAAGCTGGAAAAAATTCAGGACTTGAAAAAATTAAGTTTTATCTCATGTAGCTAAATTACATTAGATGCTTTTAAAATGCATTTATCGGATTCTGGTTATCCCTGTTCAGTGGGACTAAAAGATAACAAGGAACTACATAATAAATGAAAAGTTGCAACAATTCAATGAGATTCTTGATAGCGTTAATCATATTTTTCTCTGAGAACTATGTCAGGCATTGTTCATGTATGACCAAAACACTAAAAGCTGTTTAGATTATTCCTAAAATTTCTTTCCTGGCCGAAACAGAGTATTTTCTATAATACCATGTTACATAGATTTTTCTGTTCCAAACTTAGCCTGATAAAATCAATGCCAGTCAGTGTGAACTGTATCAGCTCTAGTGGCCTAAGGAATGCAGGAATCACTGCAATTGAATATACTGCTGCACACTGATCAGTAGAGGAGTGCCTGTCAAGGACTTCAAGGATTAGAAGGATTCCTGGGCTGTTTTCTACTGGCAGCACAACATCTCTGAGTGAAGACAGAGAATGTGAATGTGCCAGCAAGAACCATTTGATTAAAACTGTAACAAAAATGAATAACTAAGCCATTTTGGTATGAGCGGGCTAGGAAAATTTAGCAGATCTTTGCAAAACTCACTTAATTTTGACTTAGTGCAATCTACTCATTTGGGGAATTCCCCAATTTTACATCTTTAGATATTGTTATTAGTTGAACAGAATGATAAAAAGCCATTTCCCTACTAAAAAATAACAGAAAAAAAAATTGTGCCCTGCATCAACAGCTGTAAACAGAATTTACTGGGTAGTAAATGGATAAATTCAGTACGGACGCAAGTGGTTATCTGATATAATCTAAATGATTGAGATTCTGAAAGTAAAATTACATTTACATAACAGATTTCTCACCCAGAAAGACCCAAAATGTCTTACAAGCTGCAATGCAAATTGTGCGGAGTAATTAAACCTACCACTGAGCAGAACCACTCCCTAGCGTGGAACAATCAATTAGCAAACAGCTACTTCCAGACAAGGACATCCACCAGAAATTTTGCCATTGGAAGAAAAGTCCTCATGTGCTTGCTGAATTACGGCAGGCAACAGCAATTACTAGTGCCTCGCACTGCTCCCCAGGCACTCTCCATACCGGTGTATTATCTGGACGGGCTGAAGACAGCAGTGCTGCTGTCCTTTCTGCTCTGTAAGCCATGATCGGGGCTCCCAGAAAAACTTCCATCATCACAAAAAGTCCCAAATCAGCTGTGATGTGGCAGTCCCCACCAACAGAGAGAAAATATGGACTTAAAATTACGCAGCCTTTTGGGAGATGACCACATGTCACCATAGCTAGAGGGACAAAGCATCCGATTTAAGGCCAACTTTGTCACCAGACTCAGTGCCACCTCCTGTGTTTGACGTGGCAGTGGACGGATCCACTCAACTCACCCACAGCTGCTCCCAGCTGCAGCTCACTGCACAGCCACCCACCCAGCTGCAGCCACAACAAGGGGCAATCTGGGAGAGAAAGTGATTTATTTTTTTCCTCTGGGAAAGCTGCCTTAAATGCAAACTCATTGATTTGCATGGATTTGCAGATGTAACATGAAGCATTTCTCAAGCATCATATATCTCAAACCATAAGCTAATGCCATGATGTTTAGCTTACCTGGTCCCTTTGATGCTCAAAGACAAGTATGGCTTAGGAAGAAGACAAGTACGGCTTAGGAAGAATATGGTTTATTTCTAATGTTGATGGAATTCAAAAAAAGAGGTTGAATATTCTCACACCAAATAATTGGTGTGGAAAGAGGAAGAGATGTGACTGAGTTTTAAATTAGACCGAGTTGTTCAGCCTTTGTAAAATAGAATAGCTGTATTTTTTTTTACACATAACATGCAAACAAAGTTTGTGCCCTTCTGAAAACACATGCTTAGACTTCAACCACTCCCAAAAATCAGACAGGAGGGGGCAGAAGCAGGTGTGCGACTGGGTAGGAGAGATTTTCTGGCATTATCTGCATATGAACCTCATCTGTCTTGCTGCTGAATCACAGGACTAAAATAATAACAAATAATCCATGGGTTATAAAATATGAAATTACAGTAATTGTTGTTAGGAAATTTCTTTGAAAACTGGCAGACACCAGCGTGTTATTTATATTGAAACTTCTGAAACCTGAGATGTATAGAAATGTGACCAATCACAGGAAAAAAAGAAACCTGAGATGCTGTACTGCTGTCAGAGTACAAAGATGCTCAAAGTACCTAAAGCTTAATCCATTTAAGGACTAAAAATGACCCAAGCGCATAGAGGAGGGCTGAATTCACAGCCAGATTTGTAGATTCATTTCCAGTAGCTGAAAACTAATTATAGGGACGTATGAACTTCACTGAAATACCTTCCACTCCTCTCAGCAACGAGTCTTAGAAAATAAAACGTTGAATTTCAAAAAATTTCCAAAGACTTTGTCTACGCCATGGCTCCTCGCTACCTGCTCTTCGGGCTGTCAACAAGCACGTCACACCTCCAGTCCACAACGTTTACTCCACCATACACTATTTAACACTACCCGCC